GAGAGAGAAAGGATGAAGGAGGCGAAGAAGGAGGGCGAGATTTGTAGGGAGATGGAGATGGAGAAAGAGAGTGAGAAAGGGATGGAGATGGAGAGAAAGCTGGACGGCGAGAGTGAGAGAGAGATGGAGAAGAAGAAAGAGATCAAGAGGGGGAAGGAGATGAAGCAAAAGTGGAAGAACGAGAGTGACAGGATCTGGTCAAAAGCTGCTGGTTTTGATCCGGTGGCTCGCAATGAGGTCCGACCTCTCAGTGTCTTAAGTTGGACGAATTGATGTGTACTGAGCTCGAGTCCCGAGCTCTGAGGTAGAGCCTCCTTTTCACTTGATAGACATTGGTGGCCTAGGAGACTGGTGATTTGTCTACACCAATTGGGAGGTCGGAGGGGATTTGTGCTCGTCGGAAACTGGCCAGTTGTTGACTTGTCGAAAAAAAAGTTGCTAAGCCCAATTGCATGTGGAATGCAAGTGTGCAGTAAAACAACTCGAAGGTGATCGCACCAGAAGACAACCACCAGCGGATTTCTTTTTAGCGGAACATTCTTGTCGATGCTGTTTCCGAGGCAATAGACATGGATTCCAGTGAAACTGTACCACGTACATGCTCAAAACAGGATGTCATCTTTACCACCACATTCAAACCAGCTCAAATTTTCTTCGCATGCAACCCTAGCAACTTGTAGATTTGACGAATGATTGGGTTTTTATTAATCTCGTGAGGCAACATTGTTGAAGAGACGTTCATTTCGTCTGGAAATGCCAGAAGAAGAGATTCGAGGCGCCTATTTGCGCCAAACGGCTGCAGTACAGCACGAATCAGCCGTTCTCTTCTGGTCCGATCGACATACGAAATGCAAATCTCTCTCTCTCTCTCTTAGGAAGATGGTCCAATTAAACCGGTGGTACAGCACGACCTTTTTGTAAGTAACGTGAACGAGACTATGCGAATTGCTCAATTTGGTGGTTCTCATTTCATCAGATTACACGAAAGTCGTCTTTCTCCACGTGTCAGCTCGAAGCTGTTTGTAGGAATGACACTTTTCCCGCTCGGATCAGTTTCGTCATGCGACGGAGCAAAGTTGGCCGCGTTTGTCAACTGCCGTCTCAACGTCAAGCTCGAGTCTGGTCCGAGCCTCGTCTCTCGCATGAGCTGACTTTGTGGTGTCCGTCTGGGATAAGATTTTCCGCAAAATCCTGCTCCCACTTTGAGCGGACTGAAGCGATGCTTGATTGTTGGCTGACATTAACGCGACATATACAATATTCCGGCATAAGACGATGGTACTGTTGGAGGGACTTTCATTTCGCGTGAGTGTGCATGAAGAAGAGATTCGTAGATTGATCTCATCACAAGACGGCGGCTGAATCGCGTTGTACCGCAGCTGTACAAAGACGTTGCCGTTGACACAGTTCACGAGACATCCGACTTCAATTCGCGTGAAAACGGCCACATCTTCTTCATGCACTTTCATAGTGAATGAAGTCTCTCCGACAATGCCGCCCAGTTACTATTCGTGTCTACAAGACGAGATGAGTTTTATTTATGATGGTTAGTATGACGCTATTGCTGCAATGAGGATGTGTGTCATGGAGACGGAGAAAAGGTGGGTTTCGAGGAATCTGTTGTTTCATGATTGTTAAGCTTACTTCCATTTCGAGTGAAAGTT